AGGTGCTAAAATACCAGGATAGTACAAACACCCTCAAATGACCCCTTTTTGGAAACTAGACACCCTAAGATATCTGCTGAGAGGCATATTGAGTCCATGTAAGATTTATTTTTTTCCACAAGTTTCTGGAAAATGACAAAAACATTTTTTTTTACACAAAGTTGTCATTTAAATGATTTATTTCTCACACAAGCCATGGGTATATGTGGAATTACACCCCAAAATACATTCTGCTACATCTACCGAGTATGGGGATACCACATGTGTGAGACTTTTTGGGAGCCTAGCCACATACAGGAGCCTAAAATCCAATGACCAATTTGAAAGCCTGAAGGTGCGTAACTTCTTCATTTCACTTTCTCACTACCTATCACAGGTCCTGACATGCCAGGATAGCACCAACCCCCCCCCCCAAATGACCCCTTTCTGGAAAGTAGATGTCCCAAGGAATTTAAAAAGAGGCATGGTGAGTATTTTGCAGATCTAATTTTTTCTCACAAGGTTTTGAAATATAAAGAAAATAGAAAAAATATGTTTTTTGTTTTTTTTCTTCATATTCTAAAAACTTGTGGCAACAACAATGAGATCTGCAAAATACTTACCATGCTTCTTGTCAAATTCTTTGGGGTGTCTACTTTCCAAAAAGGGGTCATTTTGGGGGGTTAGGTGCTATCCTGGCATTTTAGGGCCTCCGAAACTGTGATAGGTAGTCAGGAAGTGTAATGAGGAAATAAAGCCCTTTAAAAGCCTGAAGGTGCTTATGGGATTTTGGGGTCCTGTGCTTGGCTAGACTGCCAAAACATCTCTCACATGTGGTACCCCCATACTCGGGAGAAGTAGCAGAATGTATTTTGGGGAGTAATTCCACATATACCCATGACATGTGTGAGCAGTAAATCATTTAAGTGACAATTTTGTGTAAAAAAAAAAACATTTTTGTCATTTTCCAAAAACTTATGGTAAAAAAATAAATTATTCTATTGATTCAACATGCCTCTCAGCAAATAGTTTGGGGTGTCCACTTTCCACTCTGGTCTCCAATCAGCTTTATGGTCAGCTGGCAGGAACACCAGCTGCATTTTCAGGTTCCCCCGATGGCACGGGACTGCCCGAGAAGGCCGTGGAAGGCAGCGGGGGAGGGGGGCATCATCTCCCGCTGCTTCTAAAAGCAATTCTGCAGCTAATTAGCCACTAGGATTGCTTTTATATGAAAGCCGATCACTGGCTCAAAAAAACGATACCAGGATTATGCCTGCAGCTGTAGGCGTCATCCTGGTATAACCATTCAAAGTCCAGTGATGTACCAGTACATTGCTGGTCCTTGTTGGGTGTATATGCTATGTTCTTTTTTTTTGTATGCAGCCTGTGGACTGAATGAAAAAAAGAAAAGAAATCTCTGCCACTTCTAATGGTGGGCATACATTAGGTCACACTTTGCCACATGCACCAGTGCCAAGATTGTACAAATGTCTAAATAGTGGCATGCTTGAATAAAAATTGTCCACATATAAGTGGTACCCCATATGGAAAAAGGATGACACCAAGTCCCAAACTATCTTGCTACTGCTCCCCATGTAGTCTGGGCATCCTGGGGGCTCCACATGACTATCAATTCCTTCTTAAATCCAAAACTTATAAGTAAAGCCTGTTGTCCTTGCACAGGTCTTCTACATCTTGACCCCATATCTGGCACACTTGCTGGGGAGAAATTGTTTGAATGCAAGGCGGGCAGAAAAATTAATCAGGAACTCATCAACGAAAATTTTTTGCTGGGGAGTATAGACCTTTGCAAATGTTTGGTTAAGGTGATTTGCAAGGGGCTGAATTTTGTGGAGCCGGTCAAATTCAGGGACACCCCGAGGATGACAGAGTGCATTGTTGTTGAAATGCATAAAAGATATTATACTCTCATATCTATGCCTGGCCATGGCAGCAGAGAACACGGGCATGTGATGAATTGGGTCTGCGGACCAATAGAACCGCAATTCGTTTTTTTTAGTAATGTCCATGTTGAGAGTTAGGCCCCAGAAAAATGTAAATTCGGAAATTGTAATGAGCTTCCATGTGATTGGTCTGGCAAGGTTTGAATTTGTGTTGGCGGCGATAAATTGTTATGCATATAAATGGCTTTGATCCACAATCAACGCATACAGATATCCTGTGAAAAACAGCTCCAAAAATTAAGGAGGTATGTGAAAGACCAAGATGTACTAGACCGCTGGTACTCACCAGTTCACCAAAAGGTAGAGCGGCACTAATACTGGCACTCTGCTGCATATGAGAGTCATCAAAATTTACCGGCAAGTGCTAACAGAGATCAAGCTTGATTCTGCAAACACTGCGGTTTTGTGTGCAATGTATCAAGTGACAGGGACCTACTGACACTGCACTTGCTGGGGGAGAAGGGGGGGTAAGCAAAGGGGCTAAACGCAGGTGCTGGCAGGTGTCGGGGCTGATCCCGCTAACGCTGCATTTTTGGGGACGCTATACTAATGTGAACGCTGGTATAGTGCTGATCTGATCAAAGATATTGATCTGTTCAGACACTATACTAGCAATGGAGGTTTATTGTGTATGAACGTGCTCCTGGCAATCAAGGGGTTAAATGTGATGACTGGTGTACTAACGGGCAATCTGATGCTATCTGGGAGGGGCGTGAAAACCACAGGAGAGCAAATCATGTATATATGTGTGATTTTGCGCACCCATGCCGCCTTGTAGCAGTATTGCTAATTGTGCCTTGGGTGCGCCCCCTACCTGTTTTGCAATATCACCTTTTAAAACATGATTTTGCCAAGCGGTGCCTCCTTGTGGCTGTTTTTCTACAGTGCCTGGACGGCAAGCTGTTAATATAACCATATAGGTATTTAATCTAAAGTGTTACAACATAGTAACTTACTTGTCTAGAGAATTGTTCTTGACTCACATTCTTCTTGAGTGTGGCCATTTTAGTTACAATATAATGTATTTATTAATTTATAAGCAGTCTGGCGTTTGCTTCTTGGTACTGAACCAAAGTTGTGTGCAGACTATTTATATCTGATCTTTCAACAGTGTGCAGAATTTATTTGCTTAACCTGGTGCACTCAGAATTTGTTGCAGCTGCGCATTATAGCCAATCAGCTTCTAGCTTGTCCAGTTAAGCTTTGACAATAAGTCCTGGTTCACACTGATGCAACCTGTCATGCAATTTAACTGTTCAAATTGCATGACAAATCGCATTCAATGATTGGCAACGGAACCGTTCTAATTGGTGTCGGAGGTGAAACAGTTTGAAAAGTAGTTCCTGCGCTACATCTATGTGACATCTGTAAATGAAGTCACATAGATGTCTGAAGGGTACACCCAAAGTCGTATTGACATGCGACTTTGAAAGTCACTTGAAGTTGCAAGATTTCTAATTCGCATGCATTGTGAATGGGAACCAGGAAGCTGATCTGTTTATGTGCAGGACTGTGTAGCAAACTAGCTCATCAGAGTTGGACGCGGAGTTCTTCTTTGTCTTGTCCTGTCTGTTATTTGAGGTATTCCTCGATCATTCCTCACATCCCCCCCTTTCCAGTCCTGAGAGGCAAACATTATCTCCTGGCAGATGGTGTGGTCAACCAGGTGAAGCATTCCTGGTGGTGCCAGCAGTCTGGGAAAACTGTCACCTTTCTCACCTACGTCTGATAAGGCAGCATTTCTCAGAGGGCTGGGAAGCATTGACCCAAAACGGCGTAAGCCCACACATTATCAAAATGACCAGAGTAATTGCACAGTCCTCAGGTCAACCGTATGTTTCAGTCATGTATTATGAAGCTGTAGTTAATACAGAGTTTCCCACTGACCACTCCGAAAACGTATAGTCAGAGCCCCCCCCTTTGAGAGGGACTTTTAAGAAAAGACAAGTGAGTTAGAGCTTGACACACACAAAGATCTCCCAGCAACATCGTAACAAAAGGAGATCAAGAAATCACCCTGCTCTACAACTTGGATCTGCAAACCCAGGCATATGGGCAAGTAACTTAACCCTGTACTCTTCTTCCTAATTATCTCTTTGCTGTGTCTTTATATACATATATATATATATATTTTTTTTATGACATCTCTTTGTAAATATTGTGTCGCACCTGTTTGACCCTTTTAGTAATAAATCTTTCTTTCTGAAAGTGTTAAACTGTTTCTAAGCGCTTATTTGCAATTCACGAATCCCTGCCTTTGAAGAGACGCTACTGTTTGGTATATCTCTGTATAACAGGTCCGCGGGCCGTGCTATATAGATTAACCCGACCCAGTAACAAGCGCATTTATTCTGCAGGCACCGATTGTAGTCCATTAGCTGGGCAATCGCTGTGCTGGGTGCAGCTGAGTGTGGCCTTGTTACGCGCGTCACACCGTGGTTTTAGATTGGCCGGTCCTTCGGTCACGAGTTTGGTGAGAAGGTCTGGGGTCTGACGCCGTGGGCGTGACGTATTACTGTTAGTTGCGGTAGTGCGATTGTCGCATGTTGGTGGCGGCGATTGTGGATCCGTGACAGGCTGCACCAGATTTTTCATTCTCTAGTTTTAGTAAATAACTCCCTGTGTGTGGGCTTTTCAGTCAGCACCTGGGGGATGTTTGCCCTGAGGACATACTCATCGAAAAGGTACATAGGACCCTTGGTCCTTGATCGCCTGACCCCACACATCCCTGTGATGCTATCTGTCACCTCCATTATTATACAATAAAGGAATCCATAAAGCTTGGCAAAAAGGGCATATTGACTTCAGTGGGGTAACCCTACACATTTTGCCTGATTCCTGGAATACACTTTGTGTGTCAGAGGGGCTGAGGTTGTTCACAGAGTCGAGGCAAAAGAAACAGAGAACCCAATCTACCAAGCAGCTCCTGCAGGAGTACGTACTACATGTATAAATAAAAATATATACCATATTTTTCGCTCCATAAGACGCACCTGACCATAAGACGCACCTAGGTTTTAGAGGCAGAAAACAGGAAAAAAAAATTCTGAACTAATGGACTGCAGACATAGTACAGGAGATGACCAGAGACTGCAGACATAGTACAGGGATGACCAGAGACTGCGGACACAGTACAGGAGATGACCAGAGACTGCGGACACAGTGCAGGGATGACCAGAGACTGTGGACACAGTACAGGAGATGACCAGAGACTGCATACATAGTACAGGAGATGACCAGAGACTGCAGACATAGTACAGGGATGACCAGAGACTGCGGACACAGTACAGGAGATGACCAGAGACTGCAGACATAGTACAGGGATGACCAGAGACTGCGGACACAGTGCAGGGATGACCAGAGACTGCGGACACAGTACAGGGATGACCAGAGACTGCGGACAGCACAGGGATGACCAGAGACTGCGGACACAGTACAGGGATGACCAGAGACTGCGGACACAGTACAGGGATGACCAGAGACTGCGGACAGCACAGGGATGACCAGAGACTGCGGACACAGTACAGGGATGACCAGAGACTGCAGACACAGTACAGGGATGACCAGAGACTGCGGACACAGTACAGGGATGACCAGAGACTGCAGACACAGTACAGGGATGACCAGAGACTGCGGACACAGTACAGGGATGACCAGAGACTGCGGACACAGTACAGGGATGACCAGAGACTGCGGACACAGCACAGGGATGACCAGAGACTGCGGACACAGTACAGGAGATGACCAGAGACTGTGGATAGTACAGGGGATGACTGCTGACCTTTGGGGAGGGGGGGGAGTGGGTACCTGAATTTGACAGATACCCGCTCCCACTTCCGCAGTTGTTCTTTCATCTTACCTGTTCCTCGATCCAGCCGCGCGCTGTCTTCCCGGCTTCTGTAATGGCGCTCGGCATGACAGCCGGGTGCCCAGTGCGCATGAGCGAGAAGCACTTGTGCTTTGTGATTGGTCCGGCGGCTTCTGGGATCTGTCATGTGTCCCAGGTGCCGCCTTACCATTCACAAAAAGCACCTCTTCTTGTGCATGCGCACTTGGCACCCGGCTGTCATGCCCACACTACAGAAGCCAGGAAGACCGCTGGATAGAGGAACGGGTAAGATGAAAGAACAACTCCACGGAAGTGGGAGCGGGTATCTGTCAAATTCAGGTACCCGCTCCCCCTCCCTCCCCAAAGGTCAGCAGTCATCTCTATAAGGTCCCGCTGTAGAGCTGAGTGGCCGGCCCGGTATTCTGACACGGCGGCAGTGGAAATACCGGACCGGCCGCTCCATATTTGCTCCATAAGACGCACTGACATTTTCCCCCCTTTTTTGGGGGGAAAAAAGTGCGTCTTATGGAGCGAAAAATACGGTAAATAAAAAAAGAAAAGGTTCAGCCTCATGGCTAAATTTCTCTCAGTCTCAGATGCTTTGCTAGACTGAATCTCTCCAAGTCTGCCAGTCCCAGAAAAGCTCTGTAAGGGTCCATTGACATTATGTGCAGTTACCTGCATTTTTCCTCATGGATAAATGCGGGTAACTGCAATGATACACAGAATGATGTCATGTTCGCAACAGTGTTGTACTGCATTTCTGAATCGTATAATATTATGCAACATGTTTGCATAATATTGCACCTCCCTGGATGGTCCTCTGTGTCACCACACAGCAAGTGCAGCACACTGAATGACGTGTCACCTTGAACACGTCACATAAAGTTAGAACATAAACAAAGTCCCATGTGATGGAACATGCATAACACCATCCCTGTCAGGAATCCCCGCTGCGACGGGCTCGGCGCAGGCGCAGTGCACCGCCCCGTGTCAGAATGCGGGCACTGAGACCTGGCCGTCCGCGGCGAGGGAGTTCGCGCATGCGCAGTAGGGACCGCGGGCGCGCGCGTGGCACCAATGGCAGCGCAAGGCGGGATATTTAAACGGCCCTGAGCTGTCATTCAGTGCCTTCTGGTCTTTCCTTGTATCCTGTATCTGCGAACCTGTTCTAAGTAAGTTATTGACCCGATTGTACCTGACCTTGTTGCCTTCTCCTGCCCAGACCCTTGCTTTGCCTGACCTCTCTCCTGAATGCCCCCGTTTGGATCTGACCTTCCGTTGCTGACCTGGCGTGTGACCCGACTACTCTCTGCCCGCTGCCTTGTACTGCTCCGTCCCCACTGTTACCGACCCGGCCCGTTTGACCCCGCACTTGCTCAGCCATCCATCCCGACGGGATCACCCGACCTCCTCACATCAGGCTCTTCCCTGCGGGAGCCCCTGGCGAATACCGCTACCACTGACAGGCGTGCTCAGTAGCCACGACCTGGTCTCGGGGTACTTCAAGTCCATCCCCACCATCAGGGGCTCTGGTGAACACGTACCCTGGGGCTTAGATACCGTGCGCTGGGGACACCTGGCCAGTGGAGTGCTAGTGGTACCGCCTGGTGGTCCCTTACAATCCCCTTCCTTCCACACCTTTCTGCAGTCCAAAATAGACTGCTGCCTGCACACCAATCTGCTCCTATTTAGCTTAAAGGCAAGTGTGAATGGGTCCCAAGACGTCTTTCAGGCCACATTCACATCTTAACATTGTAGTAACATGCAGTAAAGTGTACATTACAGCAACACACAGTAATGAGCAAACTGCTGTGCAATGCAATGCCATGTATTTTGAATAACACCACAACATGCATCTTCTACATTCCACAATGGACCTGCATTTTAGAATGCCACCATACCCAAATGTGAACAATCTGTGTGCAGTGGTGAGCTGTACACCAAATAAAGGTGTATACGTGTTAAATGCTCTGTTGAGATGCTTTTGCAGTCTATTTAAACTGAATGCGCTGCCTTACCACAAAGCACCTTAACACTCAGTATAACATTAATGCATATGAAGTAACACAAAAGTGTAAATCTGGCCTCAGGTACAACAAAACCCTCCAGTACAGATTCCTGTCAGTACTGGATCAGACAGGCCTGGCCACACCCAGTATATTCTAAAGATGGCCTCAACAGCACTGCTTTAGAAAGAACCCCTGTCTATGTGCAGCCTCCTAATTTCAGGACAAACCCAGGCATTCACCTTTTTTAACACTCCATGTATCACAAAGCTAAAAGAGAAATGTGTATTTTCTTCATTTTTTTTAAATTTAGAAATACAGGGGTTAGAAAAAAAAATGGAAACACTACATGATTTTCAGATGTGAACATGATGATATGTTTTGCGTTGAAAGTGGAAATGATGTAACATTTTTTGCTTCCACTGTGTGGTAAGATGCCTAGCTAACAGGTGGGAAGCCTCATTTTCATCATTGACTGCATGCATTGCTAGTAATACGGAGTCATGTCAGAGCTTACTGATCTTCAAAGAGAGCAAATTGTTGGTGCTGCTTAGCTGCTGCCTCTGTGGCTGAAGTTGCCAATTTATTTGCCGTGTCACGAGGTACAGTATCAATAGTTATGATGGCATATACTGTACAGTTTCTGGTAAAACATCATCTGATAAGCATAAAGTGACATGGTCAACTGACCAAAAGAGACAAAAGGACATTGCACAGGATTGTGACCCAGAAAAAAAAAATGCTGCAAATGTGACTGCAGAGCTCAATCTCAGTCTTCATGGGACTGGTATCTATGTAAGTATTGAGTATAAAAGTATAAAGGGGGTAACCCACCATGACAATGTTTATTGCACAATGTATTGTATATATTTAGATTGTATTGTATAACTTAGATTGTACGCCCTTGAGGGCTAGGGACTGATGTGAATGTACAATATATGTAAAGTGCTGTGTAAATTGACAGCGCTATATAAGTACATGTAATAATAATAATAAATAATATTTAATGATGCAAAATGTAGTATAGATAAATCCTATGTGTATCCATAGTTGTAGACTTATGAGAAATACAATGGCAATAGATGTATACTTGTTCACGGTTTGTTGTTATAATAAGTGATATAATATGGCACCTGCATGGGCAGGTTGGAACTATTTGACATTTAGGACTGGCAGACAGAGGTCTGGCTAGAAAGGCTAAGTGAGGCAGCTGAAATTATTTTTCTGAATAGAATAAGAATGATCAGTGCTTATTAGGTATAACTGCGCTCATAAAGAAAACCCCTTTCTTCTATATAACTGTTAATTTTCAGACATTTCTCTGCTACCAGAATCCTTGGTGAAGTCACAGCATAGAAGTTCAAGTGACTCAGGTACTTCTACTTCTTATACTGATCCTAGCCTGGTTTCCTGGGAGACATCTACAGGCTCTGACAGCCCCCACACAATATATACATTGTTTGTATAAGCATTAGTGAGAATCTTTAAACTATCATCTGGTGGAGTAGTAAATCCAGCAAATTTTAGGACTCTTGACACATCTTTATAGTAATTGAGTGGGAAGATCAGGAGTCTAGCTTCAGTAGGAGGGAATGTTGGTCCGTTTATTGCTTCATTACAAACTATTTGTTATTATAGCTGCAAGAAAATCTTTGAATTTACTGTTCTTTCTCCATGTTGTAAGTACTTTGTAAGTTTATGTAACTAGTCCTAATATGGAAGAGAATTAAAGCAGTTTCTAATTTATCAAGAAGAGTCTACTTACTGTAAAAAAAAAGCCAGTTATAACTTCATAGGCTCTATTACACACGCAAACACACATATACTCTTTCAATCAACTCCTTCAATGCTCCACCCGTATTTATTAAACACAGAAATGGTACAATAGAAGAAAGTTTTGGGTCTCCCTACACTTCATGGTTTATGGAACATTACATTGTAAGACAGGATGTTTAAATGTATCCACAACAGGAAATGCATCATTAGATCAATTACAACCAAGGTCCTACATCCAACGAAAGCATGTATAAAAATAATTTCCAGTTTTCAGCACTCTCACACTTTGAGTGACAATTACTCAGTAATGCAACACTGTACCTATATGACATTTTTGTCCTTTTTAGAGACAGATAGATCTTTTGTTTTGGTGGTATTTGATCACCACTGAAAATGTTGGAAAAAAATAATTTTTTGCTTAGTTTTTGTTATAAAACTTTGCATATAAATTTTTTTTTTTCATAAATTTAGACCAAAATGTATCCTTCTACATTTTTGGGGTAAACATAGTCCAAAACAGTGTATACTATTTAGTCTGTGTGAAAGCTATAGCATCTACAAACTATGGGATGCTGTGACAGACAGCAGAAATATTCTTTTTTTGTGTGTTGTCTGAAGTTCCTGGGCCTCCAAGGGGGGAGGGGAAATGGGACGTATCTCCATATAGAACAAAGGCAGCATGGCTCTGTGTGGCTGGGGAAAACCAGTCCAGGCCACTTCTTAGCAGGAAGTTGGGGGTGGGGACAATTGCAGGGCCATGTGGACTTGTTTTTGGGAGAGCTGGAGTCATGATGAACAGGGCTACTCCTGCCTGAGCCTTAACTAGCAGATGCTTGGAACTGTACTTTGCTTTGTACACTGCTGGCTGGTGAGTCCCTGGATTGCTACCCTGTGAACTGCCCTCTGCTGTGTGCCCGGACCTCCTGCCTGCCAGAGCTACCTTCTGCTGTGGGCCCTAATTACCTTGCCTGCCTGAATTGCCCTCTGCTGTGCCCGGGCTCTCTTTGCTTCAACTGCCCCTCGGCTGTGTGCTAGAACTATCCGCTGTTGCTGTGTGCTGAGCAGGGTCGCCGCTGCTGCCATCCGCTGTGAACCAGGACATCCCTGTCGGACCCGTGAGTTTA